TTTTTTTTTCATGATAATTAAAATCAATAATATTTTACTGCATTCAGAACTATTAATTATTTTAAATAATGGCGTCGTTAAATATAATTAGATATTATATTATTTTTATAGTTCAATTAAATCTTTAAATATTCATCCTTTTTTCTTGGTTTGAATAAATCCTGTGTCAAAATCTGATTAAAATAAAGATCTATATTTAGTTTCGTTTTTTTATATACTTTCGATGGCCTACGCTACATTAAGATCTGAACGGTTGTACTGGAAGGTCGCGTCAGGGGTCGTGCGAGCGGCTTTTTACCCTATGACGCCTGACATTGATTAATCAATCAGCGTTGACGTTTCTAGTGGTTTGTCCACAGTTCCGTGCATCGCACGGTAAGAACTCCCTGTAACAGACCGTTTCATTGTCTAATCCCGCGCTTCAACCAGAACGCGGGCAATATAACAACTCTTCCAGATCCTAGTGTAGCAAAGACAAGTGAAATGAAATTTTGAACTATAAAAAAACAAACGAAATAGGATCTGTGTTTTAATCAGATTGTAATGAAATGGAGCAATATTGAATTCTAAAAAATCGTGTTTTTAAATTTCGAATATTATGAAAAATAATGAGTTAAAGGTTTAGTTCCTTTAAACTCATTCAATTATTTCCCCCTTCCGAAATGAAACATAACTTATAAAGATAACTACGTATATAACAAAAGGTGAAGATATACGAAGTAAACAAAATACTCTCTGTTATTTCTAAAAGATAATAGATGGACATCTGTAAACATCGAGCTATTACGAGTCATGATTAATGGTATGTTATTTACAACTAAACAAGATAATGTTTTTGTGTTTGTAGAAAATTGCAACCTCTACCATGGTGTACATTAAATATGAAGATGTATGGATTTGAAAGTGTGGCGTTCTGATGCGCGAGCTGTTAGAATAATAAGACGCGTGGCCTATCTGTTCTCACTGGCGGATCAAGAGAGAAGCGAGGTGGGAAATGGGGTTTAACGTCCTACTTTTCTGTCCCGACTTGGCTAATGATCGATAAATCAATAGAGAAACGAGGAGGCAGTTAGGTCTACTGTCTTACCTAGAGAGGAGCGGGATAGGAGTTAGGACTTCTTACTGACGTACCTAGAGAGGAGCGGCGTGAGAGTTAGGCCCACTGACGCACCTAGAGATCTAGAAAGGCGCGTGGTGGAAGTTAGGCCGACTAGCTGGCGTATCTAGAGAGGAGCGGGATGCGAGTTAGGTCTACTGGCAGATCTAGAAAGATTCGGGTAGGCGTTAGGCCTATTGGCGAATCAAGAAGCGGGGTGGACGTTAAGCCTACTGGAGGAACACGAAAGGGGCGGGTTGAAGTTGGGCCTACTATTAAAACGCACAGTGCACATTTTTATAAACAGGTTTAAAAACGAAAAACTACATGAACAAAATAAAGCATAAAATATTTCCTTTAAAAATCTATCACTGTGACGTAGAACTGTGGAGTGTTCGTTTACCACACTCGCCGCGGCGTACATTAAATCCCCACCACCACCCTGTAGGAAAAAAACAACGAATTCTCACTTGAGCCTAATAAACACGTATCTATTATTCTACAGGTTTAAACGGCTCATACATTATCCCAACATTCTTCAAACCTATTACTGTAACAAAGGGTTAAATGGCGTGCATTTAGCCATTAGAAACAATAGGCCGTAATACCCCGTAATTTGTAATTTAATACACCGTTCATCCTAACACTGTTATTAAAGGTTTTTTCGCCTTCTACCGATGTATAATTTACGTCAACTGTGCTGAAAGACACAAATCATCCTGAAATGACTTGCAGCAGCTCTTTTGTGCCATAAGAACTTGAAATCCGCGTTTCCGGTGTTCTGTACGTGTTATTTGGCGCCACAAAACAAGTAGATAATTGAGATATGAAAATGTTTAATTGAGATATGAATTTTGATGTTGTTTATTTTTGAAGCCAATTTGAGTTTGAGCGATTGTGTCACATAATTGACGTTATCGATAAAATTTGACGCTCGGGTTCTTCCGGATGTTCGAATCACTGAGCGAAATAAAGACAGGTTATTATGTTGTGTTATACCCCCAGCTGAGTGATAATAACAGATCCACAATTATAAATAGAATATTATTGCCTTTAATGTCATTTTAACACAGAGAGAGCGAGAGAGAATGTGTGTGGGTGGGATGGGGGTAACGTTAACCGGGCTCATAGGCAGTGTCTGTGCTATAAGGCAGTGTGTGCGCTATAAGACTGGGTGTGTACTATGAGGCAGTGTGTGTGCTAAAAGGCAGCGCGTGTGTACTATGAAGCTGGGTGTGTGCTATGAGGCTGGATGTGTGCTAAAAGGCAGTGCCTGTGCTATAAGGCAATGTGTGCGCTATAAGACTGGGTGTGTGCTATAAGACTGGGTTTGTGCTATGAGGCAGTGTGTGTGCTAAACGACAGTGTGTATGCTATTAGGCGGTATGTGTGCTGTAAGGGAAATACTGCCTGGGACATTACAACTGTAACGGTGAAACGAACCTCGGGGTTTTAAACCCCATCTGAACGACTAGACGCTGTTCCTTTGCAAGTCCCCAGTCCCACTCACCGGCCAACACCGGTATGTCGAACCCAGGACGCCCCGATAAGCGAGCCGTCGCCTTACTAACTGGGCCACCGCGGCTCTATGGAAGAAGTGGATGCAACCACAATTTGGACTCACACACTTTTAACTAGCGGAAGTACACCCTCCCATCATGATATTCTTTTTATTAAAAAGAAAAGCCGCGTGCCACCATTTGCATTTTTTGGGACCATATCGAACTTTTCATGGCTTACTCCACTCTAATATATACACACGTGATTCATTTATATTTAATTAAGAAAACGAAAAATCAATTACTTCCGGTGGTGATGCATGCGCTTTAATAGTCCGTTTTCTTTGCGAGGCTGTAAGTCCTGCAGCACTGGACAGTCTTGCAGCACTGGACAGTCTTGCGGGTGGGGGGGTGTCATAGGATTTAAAGGGAAGAGGCACAAACTTTGAGAATGTTTGTGTGGTTTATTTGAAAGAAAATATTTTAAATTTTGCATACTCACCATAAACATTGAGTCTGTTCATATATTCAGCCTGTCCTACTTTACTGTTGGCATGGCAACGATATTCTCCACCATCTTCCACTTTAACACGTGATATATTGACGTAACTGATGACGTAGCCATCTAACGTGGTAATAGTGTTCGATTGAATACGATCGTCACGCGGTAAATCGGCACCATCTAGCTGCCATCTCACAACTGGTATAGGGTTTCCCGAAGCCTTGCATCGCAGTGAAACTTGTTGCCCAGTTTTAGCAAACTGTTCTTGAAAGGAATCTAAAATAGTTGGTTTGGCAGCTTAAATGAAATCAAACAATAAAACACATTAAATTCACTTCACGCCATTTCCTGCAGCTAATGGTAAAACCATAGGAAAGCACCCATTACATGCAAAAAATTGTTTTAAGGCAAAACAACCGAAGCAAATTCTGTCCTCGAGGAATAATATTTTTATGGTTTCAGATTTTCAGAAATTTTACTAGATTTGTTATTTGGAATTTTCCTGTCCTGGAAATAAATGTTTTGTCATCAGTATTCCAATGTTTTGAAAACAAAACTGGTAATTTAAACCTTCGGAAGACGAATGGCGGCGAGGAGAATGAATCCGAAACGATTCTTGAAAAAACAGCACCGTGTCGCTGCATATTGGAACGCCATTATATATTATGGATTCGACGACGAACCAATCAGTGTTACATAGAAAACGCCATCTTAGTGTTCTGTTTTCACTGTGTGGGGTGGCCGAGTAATTTCTTTAATACTGATGATTCCACAAAACCACCCTTCGTTTTGAATTAAAGAAGAAATGCGTCTAAAAATAGCCACGTGTATACCTCCGAACGTCATCATCGACGTGCCTTCAAAATAACAGAAATTCGTTTTGAAAGCTGAATGTTCAAACGGTAGAAGATATTTGGATGTTTTGTTTTTAAATAAATGGTAACGTATGCTTACCTCCTAACGTAAGCTGTGCTGTGCCCTGAGTTACTTCTTGTTCATTGGCTAGGAAACACTGATACATGCCTTGATCTTGTCTTTTGACGTCACGAATTATCAAAATGGTTTCAGATTGGACGTAAACTCGTTCATTCATATCCATCTGACGACCGTCTTTATACCACGTGACACTGTTTATAGGATACCCGGATGCACTACAGTTGAATTGGGCTGTTTTTCCTGCGTCGACAGTTTGTTCAATGGGGTCTATGACTGCAGACAAAACAGCTAAAAAAGATGAATTATAAAATGATTAATAGGACTTTCAAATATAGTCGAAAATAATTTCCATTCCATGTGGACCTCTGAGGGAGAGTAATAGAGAAAGGCCTCTGAAGGAGGGTGATAGAGGAATGACCTCTGAGGGAGAGTAATAGAGAAAGGACTCTGAAGGAGGGTGATAGAGGAATGATCTCTGAAAAAGATTTATAGAGGTGTCGGTTTATAGTATTCAAGAATCTTAAAGAGATGAGCCATTTAAATATAATTAACAATAATTCATGGATAGGAATATAGAGAAATGACCTTTTGTAGTTGAGTAATAGGATAGCTATAGAGAAATGGCCTTTCAATCGAGGGAAGAACATCACAGCTTATTTTTCATAGATCGGTAAAACTAAAAACTTACATGTTATAATCAGTTTGGTTTCCTTCGATTCTTCACCCAAACGATTTGTAGCCGTACATTTGTAAACACCACTATCTCCCACGTTTGCATCTTGTATCACAAGGTTGCCGCCATTTTGATGTATCCGGTTGTTGTCTATCTGTACTGGCGTGTTATTTTTGTTCCAAACGTATCTAGGAAACGGTAAAGCTTGACTGCTGACACAGGGTAATTCGGCCGTACTGCCTTGACTCAGGGTAAGTTCGGCAAGAAATGTGTCGATGGATGGTGCCATGTCACTTGCTGGTGGTGCTGTATAAAGATAGATAGATAATGTTAATTGTAATTATAATATGAATAATTCTTGAACACCTAGTACCACTTATCAATTATTTACTAATTTTACATGGTAAATAACGTACTGTTTTAATTAAACAACTCCATTGGGGGTCATTTTACCCGATAACCTTTTTAACAAATGATCCTCAACTTCCGCGTTTGAGACAGAAACGGTCGACAAAGTAGGTTTCAGGTGTCAGAACATCTTATGTCACTTCCTATTTGTATGGTGTTACTACTAAAACATATTATTGCTCTGTATTATTGCTCTTAACCACAATGATTAATTTCTGAACGTGGCGAAATATATTTGGCATGGGAAACATTGGGAACAAGAAAACAAAAACCCAGGAAAAGGGTTGGGAAACACCGGAAAGGACAAGGAAACCAGAAAATGAAAAGTCCAGGAATGAAAATTCCGGGAAATAAATAGGCCCGCCATTGAAGTTCTTACCGTGTCCAGGACTCTAAAACAAGAAAATAACCCCCGGGGAAATAAATAGGGAACGAGAAAGCAAAACCCGGGAAAACGGTTGAGAAAAACCAAAAAGGACTATGAAACCAAAAAATGAAGTGCAGGAATGGATCAGAAAACATGATCCCCGGGAAAGGACTATGAATCAAGAAAATAAACCCCGGGCAATAAATAAGCCCGCCCACCAATGAAGATCTTACCATGTACATGTAGAGTAGCGAAGGCACTTCCTCGTTCATCACCAGTCAGGATATTTTTAGATCTACAGGAATACATGGCCAGCCCATCTGTCTTTCTTACATCTCGAATATGGAGGTAGCCGGATGGCAGGACACTAAATCGTCCACCTTAAAGAAACATTTAAAATGGATAATACACTACAATTCTAACTGGTGTTTGGGTATTTATCTACAGTCATATCTCTTTACTTTGGTGACTTTGGTTTCCATTTTCGTCAACTACACGGAGGGCCTGACAAGGACAGTGGCCTAGCCGTTCGGATAGGGAATTCAATATTATAACAGTAGGTAGGCCCTAAAAGAACCCTTGGCAGTTGGAATTCGATATAATAGTAGGCCATGGAGCAGAACGCACTGTATGGCGTATACCCGTCTTTATTGTCCAGTCGGAGCAGAAGTAGGACGTTAAGCCCCATTTTATTTTTTTTCATTTACATTTTGTTTTCGCGGGGGGGGGGGGGGGGGGCACAATGAGTTTTGGATTTAAGGTGCGCCCCCTCCCCCATCTCAAATGAACAAAGGCGATTTTCCAACGCTATGTTATTGGGGGGGGGGGGCTAATTAAATAAGACTATGTGTGAAATAGCTTTATTTAACGCCCGCTCCCACCGAGGTGATATCGCAGACTATATCTTCAGTTGTTTATATATGAAATGTTCTCAAATGGCCCGACCTTAACCAATGAAAAGATGTTCTGGCACAACATTTTGTAGCCAACCACAGCGGTTAAATTAGATTTTAAAGAGAACAGAGCATTGATGAAGAATTAGTTAGATCTTCATGTAAGACGGAAAAAATATATCTGGAATGACATGAACTTCATCTTTAATTAGATTGGGTTATTTAGTAGTCTTGGGGGAATATCTAGAACTTCGCTTTATTTCAAAAATAACAATACCTGGTACGATTGGTCGAGTGCCTAGTGTCCAACCAATCACGCTCACATAATCTTGAACGTAATACGGATTGACGTCACACTTTAGAACAGCCGTGGCACCCTCCATAACCCATTTATCATTTAGTTGTACATTATAGTTTTTATACTGCTCTACCAAAACTGAAATAGAGAAATGCCATCCATTAATAATCAAGCATAAAAAATTAGATAGTATGTTAAAATAATATATAGTCATTTTACGCTAAAGTATAACCCAAAAGCTTCGGAGAGAGAGAGAGAGAGAGGGAGAGAGAGAGATGGGATTTAACGTCCACTCGACTGTAAAACTAGGCCATTTCCAGACTAACATAGGGTTCAATTTTAATGCAATAATTCGCTTGCCCGTAGGGGTCTTTAGCAATGGGAGGTAACCGTACGTAGGACCAGGAGATAACCCTCGAGGTTGGACAGGCGACCCTACTCCTTGTCACGTACAAGCGGGGATTCGACACCACAGTCAATGACAGACCTTGTGATCAAACGCGCACGCGTTAACCATTCGGCCCCGAATCTACTTGGTCTAACCCCACCAATACACTGTTGACTGACTTAAGATCCACATTGCAAGACTTTTTCGATAACTAGGTCACGTCTTGTCTTATCTTTTAATAGATTTCCAACATGGCATGTCATAAAGTGTAGCCTACTTGTAAGAAATGATGATGCGATTAAGATCTTGAAACTGAAGAAGTTCTCAGGGTTTTATTCTGTCATCAACAACAAACAGTCCTCAAGGTTGGATAATACTGTCTTATAAAGTTTATTTGAAACCACTATAATAATAGTAAAGTAAGTGCAGGAGGACCGTACCACACACAAAACAAAACGGACAAGACAACCGTGTGGACAGGACAAACTACATAGACATGGTAAGAAATAAACAACAGGGACCAGCTGTAATCCTCAACTGCGCTGTATAAGTCCCGGGCCTGTAATTACGAGCGCCATCTTGGAATTACGACAGCATATCAAAATCGAAGTACGCTAATACAACCGTACTCGAATTAGTGGAGCCGTGCGCTATTTTTGAAGAGTGTCGCCAAAAGAACAAGAAGATTACCAAGTATACAACCAGTTCCTGATTCTAAAATGAAAGAGATAAGATTGACCTTAAAGCATCCTCGATATTCCCAGAGGCATCCGCTAACCCCTGGGTCCATTAACGGAGGAGACACATAGTCCAATTATCTGCCCTTGAAAATTAAAAAATTATGCTATTTCTAACAACCAATCAAACAATTCGATAAATAGATAGTAAGTCGCATTTTGTTGCGATTAAGATCGTCGAATTATTGTTGTAAACTTTTAAAAAATATTTTTGGACATATTTTTGTGTGAATGTCACTTCTTTGATATTAAATTTCTTGCAAACCTTCTCAAAATCTAGTGGGAAAGCAGCTGTATTGTGGTGTACGTAAACAATGACCCTAAGGCTGGTATGTAAACTGTTTTTGCATTGGTTCGTAGAATTAAACTTGGTGGCCAATGAAATCATCATGGGCAGATAATTTGAATTCGTGAATACTCCATGAATGTACCCAGTGGTTAATAGGGTAGACGGAACGATGTTACTTTGGATACCGGGGATGACCTTAAAGATGCACTTCCATTTATATGGACAGCGAGTAACGACAAAATGGACCCCCCCCCCCCAATCAAGCCACGTTACAAACAAGGCTGCATAAAATAGATTTTTACAGCTGGGGTAGCTTCTTGCGTTTAAAATGTGTTGAGGGGGATTTGAAGCAAATTGGTACGTGGGAAGGTATCTTTAACAGTATGCATTACGCATCTAACCAAGGGATCCATGTTCCCTGGATGCGTACTTGAAATTTATCATTAATCATTAGGTTAGAAGGCTAATGATAATGTACCATGCGATAACTTAAAAAAACGTCCTGTCGCCGACGAATAATTGACAATGTGCGTGCGTTTGTCTGACGTTAAGTGTGTAGCGCTCCAGATGGAGTGTACAACCTACGCAGCACACAATTAAGATGAAAATCATTAGAAACGTTGATAGTCAAATCCGGGGTTTCACAAATTCTAACCACTGTTCTGGGTTATCAGAAAAAACTCAATACTTTCAGTGGTGTTATTAAGTGATTAAGGAACAGAATTAAACACTGAATCCGTCGTGTTAACCGAGTTTAGGATAGTTTTCTTTATCGGAATCAATAACTGGATAATCTAGATACATTATATAACATATTGTTCGTCCATTACGCGACTAAAAGGTTTCGAACAAACTAACGACCTCGCCGATCGAAACGGACAACAACTAAAAGAAGGCAAAAAAATCATCCCTTTTAGCGCGAAACCGAAATTGTTTAATACAGCACAATTTGTTCAGGGGGCAAAACGCAAATGGATGTTGCGCTCTATTAAATGACAAGCAACAGATTTTTCAAGTAGATAATGGTTCCCTCTTGAGCGCAGCTTTTATCTCTAGGCGATAAAGATCAAGACCAAAATGCATTAAGGAATAAAATGATTCCATTTTCAATAATTTTATTGACAGCCTATTTAACATTGATTTTCTTTACAAAGAACCGCTTCCTTTCTAATTGTCGACTCCCAACGTTTAAAATCAGTTAAGGAACAATCACGCATGTCAGAAAATAAAGAAACCGGAAGTCCCACTACGTCGATGGTTTCCCTTTGCAATGACGCCATTTCCTGCAAGATATTTTTTTTTCTTCGTGTCAACTTTTTTTTTCTTTGCTGTCAATATTATCTCGTGAAAGAACTACAATTGGTTCTTGTAGAAATCAATCTAAATTCGTTTATTGTCACGTTCAACCTGAAGATGAAACTAAAAGCTCGTTTCCTCTGTTGCTAGCACGTGCTCTGTCATTGCAAACCACTCAACAACCAATCAATGCTTTTGTTGCAATGGCACTCACACGTTCTTAGCACTCTGTATTCTCGACCAATAGATCGATGCGTTTCAATGAAACCAGGAATAATTTAGCAAGAAAGGCAAAGGACAAGTTTGTTGTAAATCTATCGCGGTTCTTAGTTCTTGTTCAGCGAGTCATGAAGTGAAACAGATTAGGTTTCCAAATATCTTTGTAGAATACGTCATTACATGTTTTTTTTCTGTAGCCTCGGTTGTCAATATAGTAAATGGATGAGGGGGTTTATTAGAAGCGGGCTATTGATGATTCAGCATGATATAACTAATTACAACATTGTTTGAAATAGTCGTTTATAAGGTATATTCCTTGGATGATCGAGGCTGTTACAATGCCACTGTCTGTTCAGTACCTGATGCATAAATTTTGTACTCTTAGTGTGTGAGTTCATTGTATTTTACGTCCGCTTTCACCGAGGTGATATCGCAGACAATGTAATCTTAGTTGATATTTTTCTAAATATACCGGCCTCTAAAGACGTTTCGGTTATATGCTCTTCAATGCGTGGCAAGGGACAACGTATAGTAATGTGCGGATGGGATGGAAAACCGGGGTCCTGTGTACACATTGGCGTGCACGTAAAAGACTCCTTGACAGTTGGAATTCGATATAAGAGTAGGCCTCAGTGCCGCTGTCTGGCAAAGCATTCCTCACAGCACACTATATGGCGCATGCCTGTCCCAATTAGGCCAGTCGGTGCAGAACACTAGCTATGATTTAAATTCCAGGTAGACTGTTTCAAAACATCCGCCATTTCTATTTTCAATTAGAATATAACCAACATGCTACACATTATCTTGGGCTGTTTATTTGTCACTTTATTGGCAAATACGTGAAGTAGCTGCCATTTTGCTAGTTGCCGGATTGAAATATTCGTATTATTTCATTCAGTACAAATTCAATAAACATTACAGATCAAATATGTTATTTTTTTGTTATTTAGAAACATATTTTCAGATGACAATTAGTGTTTGGGGTTCGAGTGTGACACAGTTAATTCGGAGGGCACACATCTTAAGATACTTTAAGTAACAATTAAGTGAGGTGTTTTTTTTATCTAAGATACTTCTATCAGCATTAAAGATATACACTCATCTTGACGTGACAAATATGTCACTTTTATATTTCAAAAATTAGTATTTGCGTTCGAGTGTGACATCTTTAAAGTACTTTAAGTAACAATTAAGTGAGGTTTTTTTTTTATCTAAGATCCTCTAATCAGGATTAAAGACATAGCCTTTCAATAAAAGCACACTCCAAATGAAACATGGTGTAATAATGTAAATATTTTGTAATAAATGATTTTATCCAGTATAACTCTTATACTAAACCTGTTTAAACCATGGATTTTATTTAAGTGGCTTTTCAATACAGCTCTAGAAATATCTCAATACTTTATTACTCGAGACTGTGTAAAAACAAAAGTATTGATAATGATCGAAAGACTGTGAATAATTGAAAGATTGAATAATTAAAAACTTGAAAAATTAAATAATTGAAAGATTGAAACAAATAATAATTGAAAGATTGAAAAATTCAATAAATGAAAGATTAAATGATTGAAAAAATGAATAATGAAGAGATTGAATAATGAAGAGATTGAAAAAATTAATGAATTGAATAATTATATTGAAAGATTGAATAATTGAAATACTGAATTGAATAATTGAAATACTGAATTGAATAATTGAAAGATTGAATTGAATAATGGAAAGATTGAAAAATAGAATAATTAAAATATTAATTAAACATTTTACAATGAGGAGGGCAAAGGCCCATGGCCCTTTTCTAGCCGCGGCGATTTTAGTGATCTAGTGTTGGATTTCAGGGGCAAAGTCAGAAAAATATTCATCTGGTTTATCCTTAACTTTCTCTGTTAACAAATATGTTGTACCATGGACCTTATAATGTTCATGGTTGTACTATATTTAGGATATAAACAAAATGAAAAATGCGGGTTTCTTCTTGTTAAAGCGAGAATTTCATATTTTCTAAGAAAGTCAAAACATAATTATTTCTATTTCTTTTGCTCAATAGGTTATCAACTCACTATTATACGACCATGGGCATTATTTCCCACCCTTAAAAATCATTGACACAGGAAATATTAACACAATTACCTCCCTTGTTTTCCTATTGCCTCCCTGCATTAGCTACCTTCAAACGTTGGAATTTGAAGTTGAAAATGATATTTTTGCCAAT